AGGGGGGGGAGGCAGGGGAGGACCACGAGGATTGCCCCAGTCCTTGGGGCTGGGCCAGCTCCTGCTGACCCCTATGGTCTGGCCATGCAGCCAGGAGCTGGCAGGTAGGCAGGAAAAAGCGGCGGCAGGGAGGAGTGGAAGCAAGCAACATGCAGAAGTGTGGGGCCTGTGCTGGTGTCAGAGCCAGTGGGGCCCAGAGTGAGGTGGTAGGAGCATGGGGCACGGGCTGGCAGGGGTCTGTGGAGCCAGGCTGGACTGCACCAGTAGGTAGAAGGGGGATCTGACCTAGCTCCATAGAGTCCCAGCTGGCCAGGACCCTGCGCTCCTGCCACCCTGCTCTGATTGCCACTGGTGTGGGCCCTGCATTCCCATCTGGCTACCACTGGCTCTTGCATACCTGCTCACTCCAGGTGCCCCTGCCCCAGCCCCGTGGTACAGGCAGGGACCACTGTGCTACCCCAACCCTGCGTGCCCCGTGTTCACTAGTCTGGACTGAGCAGTGGTGGCGGGGAGTGAACTGGTGCTCAGCGTGGGGGAAAAATTCCCCCACCACCCATGGCCAGTGCTTCCTGCTGCAGCCACTTGCAGCCCTGCTTCACCATTGCCTCTGTGCTGCCCAGAGTGGCAGCAATGGCCATGTGGAGCAGCCACATGGCAGCACAGAGGTGGTGGTGAAGCAGCTGCACCACCTCCTAGCACAGTGTGGGCTCTGGACCAGCAGCCACAGCAAACACTGCCTGGTGGTGGTGAGCAGGGGCCTACTTTCCTCCGCGCCAAGCAGCAGTTTGCCAGAACTTGACAGCTTGCCAAAACTTGGTAAGCAGCCCTCCACACAAAATAATTGCCTGCCCCTGGTGCATGTAGATGTGGGGTGCAGGGGAAGGCATCACACAGTCCCCATTTACAGTGTAGGGCTCACGGGACTCTGGCTCTGTGCCTCCATGTGGGGCTCCCAGCTAGAGTGCCAGGAACCCCATGCTGAGGCACAAGCCGGCCCAGCCTGATGGTGCAGGAATCCTCACAGGTCCTGGCACTAGCATGCCATCAGGCCCGGCTGCCTCAGTGCGGGTCCTGGCATTACAGCTGAGAACTGCGCACCGCAGGGCTGGCCTGTCTGGCTCCATGCTGTGCTGCATGGGTTCCAGTGTTGCAGCTGAGAACCACATGGTGCCAGGAGGTGCCCAGTCAGCTTTGGACTGTGCTGCATGGGTTCCAGCTGCAACATCAGAACCCACATGGAGTTGGCCAAGTCCAGCCCTGCAGCACACAGTTCCCTGCTGCAGTGCTGGGACCCTACAATGCCTGGCCCACCCTGTCCTGGCCTGATGGTGTGGGAACCAAGGGAACTGTGTGCCACTGGGCTGGGCCGGGCCAGGCCAGCTCTGTGCTGCACCGCGGGTCCCACCATTGCAGCCAGGACCCATACGACACAGCACAGAGTTGGCTGGCCCAGCTAGGCACCTCCTGGCAATGCACAGTTCTCAGCTGCATGGCCAGGACTGCAGAACACAGCAGGAGCCAGCCCAGCCCCTGCAGTTCCCAGCTGACTCCTGCTGCTGCCGGCCCTGGCCCTGGGGCCCTGTGCTCCTGCCTGCCAACTCGCTGTCACTTTCCCTTCTCCTCTGCTTGCCATTGTTGTCCTTCCCCTGCCGATTTCCTTCCTTCCCTGCTCGCTGCCTCTGCTCCCTGCCCCCAGTCCACCCACCGCTTTGCAGCTCACCACTACCGACTGCATGGCCAGGACAGCAGGAGCCCGCCAGGAACCACAGGGGCTTGGCTGGGCTGGGCTGGGCTGGCTCTTGCTGCGACGACAATCCTTCCTCCCCACTTTCTTATCTGAGTTTCCACTCTCAGGTGGAGGGAGGGCAGGGGACAGCCCCATCGTTGCTAGGCCAGAAGCCTCTAGGCAGAAGCGTCTGGTTGGGGGCTGGGGGTGGTGCAGGGCCAGGCAGGCCTTCCTCCTGCCATCACTGGGTCCTGCTGCCGCTGGCATCTTGTCATCTTTGACAGACAGCCATGGGAGGATAATAATTAAGTTTCTAAATTTTACAGGGGCCCCACAGGCCAGATATAATGGCCTGGCAAGCCAGATGCAGCCCATGGGCCATATTTTGCCCACCCCTACTCTACATGAATCACTCAAAAAGACCATGAGAAGAGCTCTGCAGCCCAGAACAGGCAGAAATTGGAAGGCTGTGCTCAGCAGCAGAAGAATGAAGCAGAACTCCACATCTGGATGGGTTATGAAAAAACATTAAAACAGCTGGGATAAGTTATAAGTTTATGGAGTTAGTTGGGATAACTGGTCATCCCAGCTTATAACTTAGCTGGGATAAGTTATAAGTTTATGGAGGGGATAGGATGGTAGAAAGGGGAGTTCAGGCTTTCCAGTGCCAGAATATATGTGGAGCTGTGTTTGTGGTCCCCGAGTTACAGTTCAGAGCAGAACATGTCTGAGTGATTATTGTATGCTTCTGGTCGTGCCCAACTGCCATATGAGGCCTGTTGAAATCAAACTGGATCCTTTGCAATTGGTATCAAAGGGTTTTAGACCAGGTTACAAAATAATGTTAGCATGCTAACTGTCTTATTGATCATCACACCAGGAATTGAACTCTGAACCTGGAAAGCACGAGCTATTACAGCTTGACCTAAAATGCCAAGGCTCCAGGGATGGGGCTGTAGCAGATCTCTATTTCTGTGGATCGAGCATCCCATATTAGATATTAGGCAGTGACTTATACTAGTATTAAAAACAACCATAGTCCAAAACCTTTCACACATACACCACTACTCTTAAATAAAACTCAAAGTGGGATTCCTGAGCAGGACATAAAATACAAACTCTATAGCAGGACATAAAATGGTATGCATGCCAGACTACACCTGAAGAGGAAAAATCCCTCTCCTCCACAGCCTCCAGGCTCCTCCCTACTGGAGCAGCCTTTGCTCTTACTAACTTTACCTCTTTGGTTTTCTGCAGGATTTTCTCCAGGAGAATGAGGTAGTTTCCTGCATCTCGGCTGACCAATTCCTGTAGGCTCCAGCAGTTGAGGCACAGGCCAGCTATGAAAGGAGAAAAAAAACACAACACAATTCAAATATACCATAGACGCAACTGAAGAGGTGGGAGTGCAGAGGCGGTATGGATAAATTATTTGATAAGGATCTATTACTTCAGTGTAGAGTTGGAAACCCTAAATCCTCATTCTGTTCAATAAAGTTCTTATCTCACCCCAACCTTGGTAGATAGAGCACTCTCCAGTTTTTGTGAGTCACGTAGCATAATGTACATGCGGTTGGTTTTCTCTTTTATCGTCTGCCCAGGGAGAAGTGCGTGTATGTGGTGGAAAATTTGCTTTAGGGGAGTTTTATTCTGGGTTTAAGTGCCTACACTGTTCTGCATTCATGTTAGAGGAAGGACATCAGAAAGGCTAATGTGACACTGATTATCCTCACTTCCTGAACAGTTTGCTGTATGGAGCTATATGATTGATATATGACAGGTCTAGTGCAGGGCACTGCCATAGCCTGAGAGAGGCCTGTCTCCAGCCAAGAATGTTCCACTGGGCCACATGAGCAAAACTTATTTCACAACTTTAGACTCCTTTACTCTGACTACCTGGCCACCTTGACTCAACGGTGGTAGCTCAACTGTGGCATGGGAGTTATGCAATTAATAAGTGACCGACAATAATGGGAGTTATTGAATACTGTTGGGTTCTAAGTCAAGTTATTGAATACTGTTTGGTTCTTAGTTATCATAAGAACACTGCACAACTCATCAACCAGCACATGGTATATCAAAGTAGTCAGAGGCATAAGAAAAACCTAGAGCAAGGTATCCCAGGACAGAGTTCCCAGATAGACAATACTTCCAATAAAACAAGAATGAAAATTACTTTTAGACAAGACACTTAAAACGTCTCAGGGCTCAAATAGCCATGCTCACTGAGGCTCGGACAAAATGTATTTCTACCAAAGGATTTTAAGTTAAAAGCAAGACCAATGAGATGAGAAAAAGAAGAGTCATCATACAAGATGGCCAAAGGTTTTTTCTGTCTAAACCAACTGAAACTTCATCTCCATCTCCAGACATGTACTTTCTTGTTGTTGAATCCTGGTAATGGCAATGCTGCAGGCATATCCTGGTTCCTCAGCTTTTTCTGATCAGAACACCTCTATCCTTAACTGCTCCCAGGTGGCTGTTGAGGAAAAGCTAAGTGCTGCTCTATTTTACTCAGGGCTGCATGCTTCTAAAAGAAGATGTGCCTTTGTCAGATAGAGTCATTTGATAAGTCATCTGGTTGAAGACCAAAAGAAAGCAACTGGCAGAATAAAATCTCCATCTGAGAACTATTGCAGAACATTTGTCTTGTAACTGGCAATTGTATAGCCCCACAGAGCAAAGCTGCTTGGAGAATTTAAATTCTACTCAAGACTGCATTAACCCCTTCACTGTCTGCCTGCCCCTTCCTGCTTTTGGGCACTATCTAGTATATTTGGGAAATATAAATATCTGGAATATTAGGAAGCACAGCTGGTAGTTAATAACTCATTCCATTGAGAAACACTTGTGTGATTTAAAGTACAGTTTTATCTGGAAAAATTGTTCTAAAAGGGAGACTATGGGCTCCTTATCTACTGGAGCTATGTGACTGTGGGTCAAATGTGTTTGGGTGATAAAGAAAATGATTTTTTTCTTAACTGTTGGCCTTGCAAACTCACTAGGGAATCTGAGAAAACAAGCTAGACTCTTGTGCTATGCAACATTGCTGACTGCCATAGACATAGCCACAATGTTGTGTTGAGTTGAGCACTTCTCTGTCCCTAAAAGGAAGGGGCTGATATGAGGCTTAATTCACAGCTGTATAAATAAGCAAACAAGACAGGATTCTAGTTCCCCAATTCCCTCCCTCCTTGCTGCAGTGTCACTAAAATGTAAACTGTAGTAAAACCTGATAGCCATGCCAGTGCCTATGCCAACACACACCGCTCTGAGCAGGACAATAGAGTAGCTGACACAGTCATTTCTCTAAGCCCTCTGAAGATCATTGCCTGTAAAATATGCCATTTAAAGTATACTTAGTTCCCATTCATTTTAAAATTTCCTTTAAACCAGTATATGGCTAAGCCAGAAACTTCAATCTGCATTATGGGACGGGTCTGAGCAACCAGTCTAACAGAAATCATAGAATCATAGAAAATTAGGTTTGGAAGAGACCTCAGGAGGTCATCTAGTCCAAACCCCGGCTCAAAGCAGGACCATCCCATTTAGCTCATCACACCCAAGGATCTGTCTACCCAGGTCTTAAATCTTCCAAGGATGGAGACTCCACAACCTCTCTGGGTAACCTGTTCCAGTGCTTTACTACCTTCCTTGTAAGAAAGTTTTTCTTAATAGCTAATCTAAATTTCCTTTGCTGAAACTTGAGCCCATTGCTCCTTGTTCTGTCATCTGTCACCACTGGGAACAGTCCAGCTCCATGCTCTTTGGAACTGCCTTCAGGTAGTTGAAGGCTGTTATTAAATCCCCCCTCAGTCTTTTCTTCTCCAGACTAAATAAGCCCAGTTCCCTCAGCCACTCCTCTTAAGTCATGTGCCCAGCCCCCTAACCATTTCTGCTGCCCCCTGCTGGACTCTTTCCAATTCATCCACATCCTTTCTGTAGTTGGGGCTCAAAATGAACACAGTACTCCAGATGTGGCCTCACCAGTGCTGAATTGAAGGGAAGACTCACTCAATCTGCTGGCAACACTCCTATTAGTGCAGCCCAGCATGCTGTTAGCTTTCTGCAATAACGGCACACTGTTGGCTCATATTCAGCTTTTTGTCCATTGTAATGCCCAAGTCCCTTTCTGCAGAGCTGCTGCTTAGCTAGTCGATCCCAGTCTGAACCAATGCATAGAATTGTTCTGTCCTAAGTGCAGGACTTTGCACTTGTCCATATTGAACTTCATGAGATTTATTTTGGCTCAGTCGTCCAATTTGTCTAAATCTCTCTGAATCATAGCTCTACCCTCCAGCATTTCTACTTCCCAGCTTGGTGTTATGAACAAACTTGCTTAGAGTAGGCTGCATCCCCTCTTCCAGATTATTGATGAATATATTGAACAAAACCAGCTACAGGACTGACACCTGGAGGACTCCATTTGGTACCAGCTGCCAATTAGATATTGAGCCACTAATTACTACCCTTTGAGCCTGATGAACCAGCCAGTTTTCTATCCTGTATTCCCTTAGCTTGCTTTCAAGACATTCATCCAACCTGTACTTCATAGATTCATAGATCATAATGGGCTGGAAGGATCCTTGCAAGATCATTGGGTCCAGCCCCCCTGCACTAGGCAGGTCACGTGACCCCAGCAACTTGATGGTCCAGTCTCCTTTTGAAGATTTGCAGGGTAGGCCATTGCACCACCTCTGGAGGGAGTTTACTCCAGTCTGGACACCCTGACTGTGAAGAAGCTTTTCCTGTTGCTAAGCCTGAAATGGTCTTCCAGGGGTTTGTGGCCATTACTCCTGGTTTTCCCCAAGGGTGCCCTAGTTAACAGTTGTTCACTGAGCCCTTGATGTACTCCCCGATGTAGTTTCATAGTTTCTAGGGTCGGAACGGACCTGAGCAGATCATCTAGTCCAACCCCCTGCCTTGGCAGGAAAGAGTACTGGGGTCAAACGACCCCAGCAAGGTGTTCATCTAACCTCCTCTTAAAAACCCCCGGGGTAGGAGCCTGCACCACTTCTCTTGAAAGTTGGTTCCAGACCCTAGCCGCCCTGACCATGAAGTAGCGCCTCCTGATATCTAGCCTAAACCTACCCTCTGCCAGCTTGTGACCGTTATTTCTGGTCACTCCTAGCAGTGCTCGGGGGAACAGTGACTCCCGCAATGCCTGCTGATCCCCCCCTGACTAGTTTATAACAGGCCACAAGATCCCCCCTCAGCCTTCTCTTGTGGAGGCTGAACAGGTTCAGGTCCTGTAGCCTCTCCTCATAGGGCCTGCCCTGCTGCCCCCTGATCATAAGAGTGGCCCTCCTCTGGACCCTCTCCATGCTGTCCACATCCCTCTTGAAGTGTGGCGCCCAGAACTGGACGCAGTACTCCAGCTGCGGCCTGACCAGTGCCACACACAGGGGGAGGATCACCTCTTTGGACCTGCTCGAGATGCATCTGTGGATGCATGACAAGGTGCGGTTGGCCTTCCTAACTGCCTCCCCACACTGCCACTTGGTAGTTAGCTGCTACCAAGTCCCCTCTCAGCCTTCGCTTTTTTAGTTTGCTTACTTCCTTAGTTTGCTTGCAAGATCTGGTGTCAAAGGATGCATTCTCTCAGTTCTCCTGCTTAGCATTATTACTGACTTTATTACTTTAAAAAATGGGTATAATGCAGGCACTGAATGGGGCTGTTTAATAACAGTACACTACAAAAGCTTGCAATACCACAAATATGAGTTATAATTGCCACATACATGTCTTGTCTGATCCTGAGGCTCCTTTTTTTCAGAAGAAAAAAAGATAGGAGTTGGCTTCTTCAGAGCTCCTATTCCAGGTTGCTAGACATTGCTCCCTTCCTCACACCAGATTACACACCAAGCAGATCCTCACTAAGTTGGGGCTGGCAGGGGACAAGGGATTTCATGGATGTCAGCTGTTCCTCTTGCAAACTTTTATCTCTTGTCCTGTATGGTAGTAGGGTCAGAGCCAAAAGAGCAGCTGAGTCAGAGCCAGTAATGAGGGGTGGATCCAAGGGGTGCAGTCCACCCTCCTTTGCCACTGAGGGGTCTGGTGTTGGCTGCTGGATGCACGCACAGCGAGTTCTCTGCTGCTGCTGCACATGCATTTTCAATGTCCTGTATCCATTCCTGTTAGCTGTCACTGTTGAACTACCCAAAGACCAGCCCACAAAGCAACTCTTACCAGCAGTAAGTTGTGAGAAAACCAAACTAGTCAGAAAAAGGTCAAGGTAAGCTTACAAACAGCTTTAATTAGTTTCCCTTGTGCAACTGCTTTGAGCCCTGAGGGCATATGCTATTATTTCTGCAGGCCATTTTCCTTATTCAGAGCCTAG